GGCGGGGGGGGGGGGGGAATGCTTGGTGGATGATGACAAAGGGAAGGCAAACTGGGTTAGACAGAGGCTTAATTAACTTTGCAGAGCTGAAGGTACAAGGCAGAGTGACCTGGGGAAGGAGGGAAGAGGCAGAAGAGCCCCCCTTGGGCACTCTCCTATCCTTGCCAGAGGGGTTGCGTATCACAGGAGCAAGGGGGGAGAGGGGCAGGCTCCCCTCTGACGCCGCACTCACACATGGAACTGGGAAGGCTCCCCAGGCACCACCTGTAGAATAAAACCCTTCCGGAGACAATCTGGGGGATTCTAAGAAGTGCTACTTTATTGCCTTTCTCTCATAAGTAGAGAATTCCATTTTAAAAGGAAACAAAAAGAGGTTCTTGAGTAAAAATCCAGTGGAACCCTTGCTCCTAAACTTTCTATTTTTAATCACCAAACATTCTGTAGTTGCTTGGTAGGTGTTCCTGAATTTCTGAAAACAAGGCCCCAACTGGGACACACTGGGATTTGACTTCAAACAAGATCTGGCTCAATCCATCATCTTAGGTAGAACCTGCTAGAAAATTACGTTATTTATTGAACAAACCAGGAAACCGTGGTTCTGATTGTAGATATGGCAGATACTTGAATGTAGCTCCAACACACAGTGGCAAGTTCAGATATGACAGCTTCAGGGTCTAAAGGAAGTAAAGCTCGGGCCCTTGGCAACTCCTGCAGGGATGTTAACCTTAAAAAACCAGGCACTTGTCTTAAAAATGAACCTGACTTTATTTTTAAAACTACAGGTCCACAATTCTGTTCTAGGCCATGAAATGGACAGGGCAGGATGGAGAAATAAAGGCAAATGCTCTGTTTGTTCCGCTGGAAAACAGTGGTGGCCGAGACCATGGAGACAGACAGGTCTGGCTGGGAACACCAAGCCTCACCTCTTATCAGCAGAGTAGGCCTAGGTGGATGAGTCAGAATAGGGCAGTAGCACAGGGAGATCAGCTCGGTGCTTTGTGACCACCTAGAGGGGTGGGATAGGGAGGGTGGGAGGGAGATGCAAGAGGGAGGAGATATGGGAACATATGTATATGTATAGCTGATTCACTTTGTTATAAAAGCTGAAATTAACACACCATTGTAAAGAAATTATACTCCAATAAAGATGTTAAAAAAAATTAATAGTAACACAGAGCAGTAATAGTAACAGTAACACAGAAACAGCCCTACCGGCCCTGGAGTTAGAAAGCCTGGCTTCAAACCCAAGAACCCCTACCTAAGAGTTAATACATATAAATATTGTCTGGTATTTCATAAATGTTAGCTACGATACTCTCTATTAGAAAGTGAGTTACATGAAGGTAGGGATTTTTCTGCTTTATTCCACTACTGGGCCCCTAGTAGCTCAAAGCAGATAATAAATACATGTTGAATGAATGAATCCTGGAAAACTTATTTAAACTCTCCTAAGCTTTGGATGCCTTATCTGTAAAATGGGTTAATAATATCTAGCTCCTATAGTTACTGTGAAGATGAACTTAAATGAAGTAATATGGAAAGCACTTAGCTTCACGTCTGGTATTGTGTAAGCACCCACTAAGCCTTAGCTATTGCTATTTAAAAAACACAATTAAAATTTTTTAAAATGCAGTGATATCAATAGTCACAACTGCAGCTGAGATAGATTGGTTTCTGGATCTCTAAATACAAATAGGTAAAATGATAATACTTCTGTTCCACAGCCTGCAAAAGCCTAACGTTTTCCAAGCACCTTGTATAGCTTTTAAAATATGAACAACAAAAGATCAAATTTGCAATTCAAGCCTGAGTCCAAGCGCTAATGTATTTGTGTCCTAGATTGTAGAACAGCACTGGATGGTTGAGACTCAAATCAAATACATTTCCAGGATGCAACCTGAATGCAGCTACTGAGTATTTCCTTTTCCTTCAGGGCCTAGAGTTCTCCATTGCTGGCCCCTTTAACCCAAATCTTGACATATATTTCCTGTACCAGCGTTGGAAATATAAGAAAGACATCATGGAAGATACACTGAAACCATGTTATAGTTTTTAGTAGTATCCAAAATAGCAGAGCCATCTAAGCATCCCTCCTGTGTCTCATCATCCTTTGCTAGTCTAACTCTCTCCTCATTCTCTCTTGGGAGATAGACAGAGAGTGGGCAGGAGGAGATAGGACCTGCGGGGTGAGGAACTTGCAAGCACTCTGCTCAGTGAGCATGAGAACGGGGAAATGTCCTGGGGACGCCCCATCCCCGCAAGGATTCAGGTCAGGGTCTCATCCCAAAGAGCCTTATCTCAGGAAGTCCCTGGCCCTTCTGCCTCCCAAAGCTGGAAGCCTCCTTAGTACAATTTGTGCTCTTGTGGAAGAATCACAGGAACTCTTGACTGAGCTTCAGCTTCCTTGTTCTGGTATTCTTGTATTATTACATATACATGTTTTCTCCCGTTAAGGGATGCTGCAGTGCCAGGAGCTGAAGTTGCTGTTCATCCCCTGCCTAGTACGATGGGGGCCGCTCTCATGTGTCAGTTACTCTAAGGGAAACCATTTCTCCTCCACAGTGGCTCCAGCACGAGTCTCTCGCCTACAGTGTGGCTTGATGGCTTGTGTTTCTGTCAAAGTGTGTGTGTGTGTCTGTGTGAGAGAGAGAGACAGACAGACAGACAGACAGAGAGAGAGACAGAGAGAGAGAGAGAGAGAGAGAGAGAGAGAGAGAGAGAGACTTAGAGGCAGGGAGATACAGAATGGGTTTGGGAGTAGTGATATGACACCCAGACCAGTAGTAATAAGAAGAGCTGTGCCTTTGGGGTTCTAAAGCACTTTTACATAGGATCGTATATTATCCTTATAGCAAATCTTTGGGGCAGGTCATGTGCTGGTCTGATGGTTCAACAGAGAAAAGGGCAGTGTTTTGGAGGAGGTGGAATGGGGAGGGTGGATGACACCCAGAACGAAGAGGCACATGGCTAAGATAGCTAGGCCTCTGCGGACATTCCCAACAGATTCTAACGGGTCTCCTGGGCCAGTGTGTCCATGATGAAGATATTCCTTCTTCCTCTAGACTCTAAGCAGTGCCAGTAAGTTAAAAAAAAAACAACAACAAAATTCTCATTGACTTGTCCCAGACTTTGAATGAAACTGGGGAGGATCACGGAGCTTGGGAAGAAAAATGATGATCCCACTATTAAAATAATGAAGATTTTAGGATAGAAGATATTGGGGGTAACTATCAGATTCCTGTCTCTTACTCCTAATGATCCTAAAAGATGGGTAGGATTTATTAGAACCACTTACAGAGGAGAAACTTTAGGTACAGTGAGATTAAGCACTGTGTCCCAGATTACAGAGCTGCGGGTTGGGGGGAAGGGCGGGTGCTCAAACCCGATTCAAATTCAGACTCAGGTGTGACTGCATGGCCCACACTCCTGATTCATGCTGGCGGTGAAGCACAGTCATGCCTTCGTCAGTGGCCCCGGGCTCCCATGCTAATCGTAATAAAGTTCTTTCAGACTGTTTTCAGGACTCATCCTTGCTTGTTTCCACCCTCTCCCCAGCATCCCAAACCAGTTACAACTTGAGGACTATCTGTTCTTATCCTTAACGATTTTTATTCTCATCTTCCACCCCCGATGCCACTACCTTGGTTCAGATCATCAACACTGCTCTCATGATTTTTGTAGTAGCTCGACTGGCCTCTCTGCTCCGGTCTTGTCTCTTCTCTAACCGATTCTCTGTGTTGTGGCTGTGATTTTCTTTATAAAATGTGGACCCAGGGCTTCCCTCGTGGCACAGTGGTTGAGAGTCCGTCTGCCGATGCAGGGGACACGGGTTCGTGCCCCGGTCCGGGAAGATCTCACATGCCG